GCGTCTTACAAAACTGCCCTACATTGCGCCGGGCAAATACTTATTTGACTTAGATAATGAAGATGTTTAGCATCGCTGAGATGCTGTAGGTACTTTCAGTACATACTTGTATCCTATATTTAGCCAACTTCGTCAAAAGTGGAGGGACTATGATTTGCCACAGAAGCTTTCAGTTATTTACTGTAGATATAAGTTTGGGGCGGTTTTGACATTTCTGACTCAAGCATTTTTTTAACGACAAGCATCGCAGTTAGTGCATTCATGCTATCAAACCCCAAACTAAGCCTACAAATTTTGACAATAGAGGAAGATAGTGAAATATTTTTTTTTGTATACCCTAATATCTTGTATACCCTTATATTAATCCATTTCTTGAAAACTGTTGCATTTAGTTGGTAAATTATTTTTGTATGGTATTTGTACAAGGTTTGTATGAAAGAGTTTGTATGTAGAAAATTATTGATAAATCGTACGGAAAAGTGTAAACAAACTCTAAATAAAAATATGTGTTGAGAAATTACAGAATTAAGTTACTTAGTTCCATTACGTATATTATATTAAATGTTACCAACTTACAAAGTATGAATGACTTTGTTTAATGTTAGTCTAACTCACATATCTTGTGTTTAATTTAAGTTCTTTGTAGTTAGTAATCTCAAGTAACTACATTGAAGCACAAAGTGAATTGTAGTTAAAGGTCAACTAACGCCCACACAATGTCCTGCCTTCTCCAAACGTTTGTTGGTATCTGTAACATTATACCATCAGATCACCTCGCTATTTGCTACGGGGTCTACCCGGCTTCACTTGTTTTAATTAGAATAATAAGTACCGTAAATATTGACGTAACTATAAAATATAATATATATAATTGTTGACCACGGCTTTACATGAGTGAGGTTGAAATTGCCGTATATCAGGAAAACAGATTTGTTTTAAAATATTTATTTCGTGACATAGCCCTATGGATGTATGGATATCGTTACATAGCGATAAGGAGGTCTATTGTTACCTCATTTTCTGGATTGTAATGATGTATTTTTATATTTCATCACATAATAGTTCTCTGATTTTACAGTGTAGTATACATTTTAATAAGTTAAATAATTTAATTATTTAACTTATTAAAATATATACTACATATGTATTCATAGTTACATAGATAATATATATTATTATATTCAATACTAGCTGACCTGCGCAATTTCGCCTGTATCACACTTACTTGCATTAATCGTTATATTTCACCCAAATACATATATTTTTTTTAATTATAGCGTATATGTTATTCTATATATGTTTATACATGTCACATAAACTGTATTACTGTAAAGTTTCATCAAAATCATTGTTTTTGCGTGAAAGAGTAACAAATGTCCATCCATATTCAGATTAAGACAGTTACGAGTTCCTGGGCCAAACCAGGGCAGTATACACGCACAGAACGCAACAGCACGAACTAATTCTGGACGTCTTTTTTATTATCTGTGTTTATATTATTTTACGTAATTATAATTATCATAATAATACAGATTAACAATTGTTTTTGTATTATCTAATTAAAACTTAATTGATTTTTTATCTATGCAAATTATTACAGAGACTGATTAGGGGTTCATGTTTGGGTTGATGTATGATATGTAGAATGATACGTACAAAGCAACACCTATCCCCAAACAAGATAATGTGGTATGAAAGGTTAAAAAATTACAATCATACTTCTATTAAATGCTGTTAATTATTTATATATCTCATATAAAACCTTTTTACGTGGGTAATACATTCAAACACCAACATTATTATTATTATTATTATATGCAGTTGTTGGCTTAAGTTAAGTAAGGCTGCAGTTGTTGTTGTTGAATGCTTGTTTATTATTTATTATATTTGATACACATATAGATCGTACTCATAATTAACAAGTAGGTACTTTTACTAAATTTCACTATGGACAGCGCCGCGTGATATATACTAATGTAATTTTTTTATACCTTTCAACTAACTAACACATTAAAAAAATCAACTCGTTTCGTATTGAAACATAGTACATCTTTTACAGTAAGACAATGTGTAGTAGGTACTCATAATATGTTAGGATATAGTAGGAGATATGGGATACGATAGGCGAGACGTTAGGATAGAGTATATGTACTTGCTATATATACATATGTATGTATAGGATAAAAGACTCCTCAATGTAATATATCATATAATTTGATAGCATTGATAACTTTGAGAATTTTATCTAAAATATTTTCAATACCTAATATTTTTTATCATATTACGTTTATATAAATATATATGTATATATTTCGTGTTCTTTGATATATTGATACTGATATCAAAGGTTAGCCTCCCGTTCCTATGGGAAATTAAATAAAATATAATATTGATTACTTAGGGTATCCGATCCTGTTATTAAAATAAGTTCTCTAAACTTAAAAAAAATACTTACCATTAAGTGACTTGTAGGAATAGAATGTTTGTTATTCTTGAATTTGTTTATTTATAAAAACGTTTATTCTAGTTTCAGAGATTATCCCTTACATATAGTGAAATAAACATATATTATTTATTTCTTAAAGGTAACATTTTATGTTTATTGGGTACATATGTAATTCCTTGCTTTTATATTTGATCGCCATATAATGTATCACATCCTTCCAGGATGTAGGAAGTATGTGGATTATCAATTTAATAGTTAAACTGAATCTGCATTTTTTTAGTTACAGTAAGGTTGTCTGTCTGTAATTAATGTACAGAATTTAAGTGACGGCAAAAAATAATTTATTCGATGCGATTTGAGTTTTGTTTATGTACAAGTGTGTTATCATTCCATAATATGCGCGATTAAAACTTGTGTGCCTCATTACTAGCAATGTACCTTGTCAGGTCAACCTCCATTCGAAACCGACCTGTTTTTTTTTGTGATAATGGATGGTGAACTTTCCTACTGTAATGGTATACCCTGACGGGGCACTAATTGTATCATGTAATATTACCACCATCAAATTAACGTGTTTATTGTAATCAAAGATATTTTTAAATTGCTGTGGTTTAAGTTTATTTTTTTTGCTGATAGGACAGAGTAAGGTCGGACTGTCTTAACTTCACCATGGTAAGTTCACTATGATTTACCCAAGACGTACTACTCCGTCTTAGGTAAATCATAGTGGGGAAGCCATGTAGAGTGTACCTGATAGGGACATTTTGCAGATGAGTACTTCTGATTTCCATTATTATTAATCGCCGAAACTCACTCGATACAGCCGTGATTTATTTCTAGAGAATTCGACATAATTAACCTCAAAAAATTGGTCAGTTCAGTCTTGTAAGTTCCCAACCTAGCCAACAAATATCATTTGCGCAAACGGAAGCAACATTTCATTGTAATCTAGAAAAATAATAGTCACACCGTTGTATACATAACAAATTTCGAGATAATTGTATGTAGGTGCCAAAAAAGTGACAAACAAACATACATTATTTATGTTAGTAAAGATGCTTTTAACTATAATTAACTTGATAACAATTGAATACGTCGCTGATAAGAACACGTGATAACGTCCCACAGTACGTAATCCATTTGATATCTGCCTGCAAATGGTTTTACTCGTGAAAATATGATATAAAAAATATTTACTTCTAGTTGTTAGTATAAAAAAAAATTGGTTATATGCGTGTGGTGTCAGTGAGTTAAAGAGTTAATTACTAGATTTGGGCCTGCACAAAATAGTGTGAGTGTACATTCTTGTGCATACGAGTATTTGTGTATTATATTATACTTTAGTGTGCATTGGATTAAATTTAATCGGGTAATTATATTGTTTCTTAGTATATGATTAAAAGGTAATGAATACATATCTATTTATTGTTATTTCCATTATATCAAAGTGAGATACCTAAAAGACATGCACTTGAGAACAATACATATTCATTTTGTCCTCAACGTTTCTTTCTGTTATAGTTTTTTCTAGTTAGAAGCTCATTTCACTCTTGATTTTCACATGTGTATAATAACCGATATATGCTTGCAAAAGTGTAATTCTTTTTCTCTGGCTGGACAGGACTTTGGTCCGGCGAAGCTATAAACTGCTCAGCTGTAGATAGCTTAGACAGTTCGAACAACAAACCATCATAATTTATATTAACACTTTATTACATTCGTAATCAAAATAGGATCATAATATTTCCTTGTTCATTATATATGTATTATTATTTTTGTAATCGTATACAAACTAATTTGAAAAGAATAAGATCTTAGTTACTTGTCAGTTCTTCTTAAATCTTCGCATTGTTCTCGAAAATATTCCGGACTGACAGCAGATTTGAGATATTATAAGAGAAATAAAGATATTTTGATGTGACGTCTATATGTTACTCTTATTTTTCAAATGACTAATAGCGATAAGACATGCAATGATTGGTTTTTAAATTGTAATAAACACTGCCATATATTTATTACAAGGACGTTATAGAAGACATCTGTCTTATCGCAATTAGTCATTTGCGTATAAAATGATGTTACTAATGCTGTTCCAAATCACACTCATTGTAACAGCTACTTAAAATCCATAATGCAATGCGTTGTTTCTATAAGGTTAGTCGTAAGGGGTACATCAAGCAAAGGTACAGTTTGTTTATTATGAGTACTTTAAACATGAGTGGAATTTCTTAAAATTTCTCGGTGTGGGCGTGTCCAAACTCCTTCGTGTGGCAAAGAGAGAAACCCCAAACATTTCCCGGAACTTTTGACCCGGGTGTAGTTTTAAGGGCTATTTTGCACATGTACGTCTAGACTCAACTTCATCGCTCGTGTTTTTCTCCCTGCCCAGCCGAATCTGATAGTAGTAGCTTAGAGTCAGTCAGTTATATGTGTACATAAATGAAGAAAGATTTGGAATTTTACATTAAAAATTATTACCAAGAAGAATTATTCCCAAGTATCACTTGAGGAACATGTTTCAAATGATTTATGGGGTTTTATTTTGTTGTTTCAGCTTCTCACAGAAAGTGGACGAGGAAGAGAGTGGAGGCGGGGGTGCGTTACATCCACCAGACGGGTTCTACTCCCACAGCCACTCGATCCACAGCGGTCACCATGGTCACCACGCCGAACCTGACAGAGGTTACATGGAGGGCAATAGATACGTCACTGCTGTCCATCGGCCATTGCCTGGTGAGTTACAAATAGCAGATCTTACAGCTAATCGCAATGTCGATTTCAATTCAATCCAATTTTGTACTTAGTCTTTTTGAACCCCATCAGGAGTAAACAAAATTAACTGGTCATAATATTAATTAGTTAAGTTAATAGACACCGAATATTCATTAAACTATTACGATGCTAGTATACTAGTACTTTCAAAAAGGTACGAAACGGCTGATTTTAGGTAATATATGTATGTAGGAAACAGACCTTAATAATTCTGGAAACCAATTCTGGTGGATCTGTATAGGTATATAGATCGATCATTTTGGTTTTATTTATAAACTAGCTTTTTGAATTGAATTGAATAAACTTTTTTTTATTAAAATATATGAAGTTTTTAAAATAAAACTATTATATATAAAAATTTACTAAATTAATGTTTTCATGTAAGTACCGCATTTTATGACTTACATGAAAACATTAATTTTAAATTACAATCAGTCACTTCAATTTTATTTAATTGTATTGAACTATAGATAATTCCAAGTTAGATTTGATCATATATAACATCACCGTAGAGTCATTTAAATATAAAAATTTAAAAGATTTTTATTTATTTTGTGGGCTACATTTAAACTGAGCTTTGTATTCTTACGGGTAGGTAACCACTAGACACAACTCAAAATAAACACAGTATTTTAAAGTTATTACTTATTTTAAAATAATAATCTTCCATAAATATTTTGATCAGGCTTGTTTACCAGAGCTTATAATTTGAATATTATACTCAGTCCGAAAGTCGATCAAACAAAACGTCTTAAATTAAAGCCTCTCTAAGCATTTCACTCTGCTGAATTACAAATTATGTGTATAGTAATTTTTATAGTCTGTTTTCCAAGTCTGTACGGCGAAAGGTATGAATAAAGAAGGATTTCCTGTAGTGAAAGTGGATTATAGATTATGTATTATTGTACCTATAGTGTTCATAGTATTGAATACTAAGTAGCGTCTTCGGTTAGACTTCCATTAAATCGAATAAATCAAAGTACATTTAACTTATGAACGTGAAGTTTTTTGAATTAACATTTTTCCTATCGTTTAGTTTAGTATTCAGATTCAATTCAGAGGAGCTGGCAGTAAACTTACCAGAGTTTCTTTTTTTTAAAGTTAGTTTGTTTTGATTGACCTTTTATGTAAGTGTCTACGTCTAACATTAAATGAAAATACACATTTGTCATTTAAGTAATCGTTTAGCGAGTCGAATTAGCAAGTGAATCGCTTTGCTCAATATATATGATTTAATTATTGAATCAATATAGCTTATATTGATTAAATTTAAGTATTTATGAATGAGGGGTGAAATATGGCAGTAAATGGTGTACATAAAAAATGTACCAGACCATCACATTAATTTTATATCAGTGAGGTTGTTCACTTCATTACCACTTACCATCTTCTATCAGCAGGGTCATCAGCCTGTGTCATTCTAGTTACATACAAAAATTGTTTTCAGCATTAAATCATTCAAACTCGTCATGTTCGTCAGCGTCGAACGCGTCTACTGGCGCGGGGCTCTGCCCGGGCGCGACGGAACCCGCCCCGCCGTTGTACATTGCTGCGCCGCCCGAGGGATTCGGTTTAGCTGTACATACCAACAGGTCAGTGGATTACATTCATTCATCGATGTTTTTATTGTCGAAGTTTTAACAGAGCGTAAGTTATTTATGGTAACAGTCATTGTTGAGGAATAACTTGTTGTTTATTTTCAACAAGAAACGAGTGCGGAGAGTCATTTTGGTGTATGGGGACCAGTGATTCCGTCGCTAGCAATGTACCATGTCAAATTGACCACGTTTCTTCATGCAAAGCCATCGTTATAAATTCCTGCTGAATTTGCCACATTACTAACTGAATTGATGGACTAGAGGAGGGCGCATGAACATTTCCAAAAAAAATGAATATCTTAAATAGGTTTTATTACCTTAATCTTACTGTTTTACTTTTGTCGTAAGTGTTATATGGAATTTATACAGTTCCTTTACACTTCTGAGAGTAATGTTTTGAACTTACACACTGTTAGAACTTCATTAACGTTATTTACTTAGTAAACTAACCCATCGTACAATCAAGTGCAAAAATGTTTATGAATTGCAGTATAAAAATTCATAATTTCATACTTTTGTGCGTTGTTGTTTGTTATCACTTGCTTGTACTATTATTTATTTAATGTTAAATGTCGTGTAAATAAATATTTATACATATATGCCATATATATGTAAGTATACTTTGTATTCTTAAACATTATTTGTTATAATTGCTAAGAATACTTTGTTAACAATAATAAAATTTATCTGTTCTTTATATCCTCGATCGAGTATATGGTCGAATAAAATGGATAATAAGTATATCTTTAATTTATTGTTATTTTATTACGAATCGTATATTTATAGTAACAATATGTTATGTTTATTCATATACAATATGTATATGCTATATATAATTTTTTACGCAATAAGTATATATTATAAATAATGTAACATTCGTGACTAATATTTATTGTGATTACTATTAAATGTTTTAATAATTATTATTAATTACTTTCCTTGTATATAATATTTAATATATTTGTTATATGTTAACATAAGGACGTGTATAATGAATGTTTTGTTTATGTTTTATCATACATTGCTTCCATAGGCGTGGCACAGACGTGTCCATCATTGGGACAACAGGAATTACACAAAAAGATCCAAGTTTACCCCAAAAAAGGGGTAAATTGATGAGAGGGTACGTCCCCGAACCTAAGATCTGCCTGTCTTGTGTTCCTCTTCATAACACCTAACTGTCCTAACGAGTGATACTATCCTATGATATTTGAAGCGAAAATTGAAGTATATTAAGACAACAGTAACATAGCATGAGTTTTCAGAGCATACATAAGTTATTCATTCATTTCCCAGCATAAACGGAATGTAAATTAAGGCCGACAGTGTATTGATTTTAATTCCACTTGTTTATTCTTCCTTATCTCAGAGTACCTAACCTCTGAGTTGAATGTTAACGTGTTTATTCAGTACATAATTATACATTATTGTTCTTTCGTATGTAAACTCGACTGGCACCGACATCTCCTTATTTTTTTGTTGGGAAGTGAATCGGTTAACTTTGATAATAAATGTTTGTATTCACACCTACCGATGCTTGATTTAACGCATTTGCAATCGTATATTGTTACAAACGGATTGAAATTTAAGTTTGCAATTATGTATCAGTCATTATAAAGTTGTTATTGCGAAACGTTTAAAGGAAACAGCGGACAGTGTTTCCATCTACCTAAATGTATTCTTCTGTTTTCTACCTGGATAATAATACTAGACTAAATAATATTTTGTCTAAAATGTACAATTATTATTAACAAGTACGAAATATATATATTTTTAATAATTAAAATATATATTAAATACCTATAAAAATATATAAAATTGAAAATCAGAAATATAAAATAACTATTTCCGCTATTTCTCAATCTATTTTATATGATAAACAATTGCAAACGCGTTTTGAAATCAAACTGGTATAATAAATAGAAGATAACAGAATTGTTATAATGCGCTTACTTATGAATGAAGTTTATCACAGCATGATTCTAACTACAAGATATGAGTATTTGTTGTAGGATCAAGTAACATAGTTAACTATCGTAGAAGACACCTACTATTTATACTAAATTACTCTTGTGTCACCTATTAAACTGGGCTCACATTATCGAGTTCTGACCCAACGATCCGTGTTGATGATGCCGTTCGATTGGCCCATTATTTGTTAGCCCCGCCCTTTTCGTAAATGCGCCAATCGAAATGCGTTCGCCCATCGAGTTAGAACTTGATAATGTGACCCCACTCTTAGATATATGACAACTTCCTAAATTTCAGTAGTTAGTGTATTCTATAAAACAATGTAGGTATATAACTACTCATTATACCTGTTATCAGCGAATCATCTGTATCGTCGACAAAGTAATTTGCTCATATCATGCCTAAAAACTAGCTATAATATTTATAATAAGCTACTTTTAAATAATGCATTAAATTGTTTTATAATGATTTTAACATTTAATTAAGAGTTTAAATTATAATTAACTTGATGGCATTCCACTGTTACGAACCTAATCATTCAGTTGCTTGATCCATACATCTATAAACATCCAAACAATCCCGTAAATCATCATACAATTGCGTCATGAATGGAGTTAGAGCATTTGCACATATATTATATGAAAATCAATTAGATACAATCTATTTCTACAATCTAACTAAAATAGTGCTTAATAATTTGGGATACCAAGAAGTAGATAAAAAATAACTTTTTTTAATGTCCTACGCAATAGAGAAGTTATAAATTTGATGTGTCTATATACATATATATTTGTATGGTACAAACCTCCTAAATAAATGGACCTATTACAATGGAGATTTTTTGTTTGAATGCTAACGTCATCGTCAGGGTATTTGTTACAATTTTTTTTTATATTCGGCGTTAAAATTATAAACTCTATACTTAATTATTGTTATATCTTGATTATTTATTGCTTCATACACATTCTTTAATTGACTTATGGATCAATTCCAATAGTACATTATTGTAAATTAAATTTCCGATATAAATTTGCTGTCAGGTGTTTCTTATACATTGATAACAAAGAAAAAGGTCAATAACACATTTGTCGATTTCTTTTATGCATAGTGGGAGGTCATTGTATATAAAAATAATCATAGAATTACAGTATTAAACATTATTTTTTACAATAATTGTACAATTAAAATGCTAATAAAGAGATATGGACCCTCTGCTATCTGGGGGATAGAAGAATTTATAATGAATTATATATTATTTTAATAACACCCATCTCTTTTTTAACAAGTGTTCATAATGAAAATATTAGAAATATTTAGTTAAAAAAAATCGTATATTATTAAAAAAGTACTAATCAGAATGTGTCGCATCATAATGCTCTAAACTCCATTCTACAAAATCTCTTACTGAATTTATAATGTCCAAAAACCTTTCCAGTCGTTATGAGATGTCCCAAGATCTACTCGATAAGCAAGTGGAGATATTGGAAAGAAGATACGGAGGCCTAAGGGCCAGAAGAGCGGCCGTGACGATTCAGAGAGCGTTCAGGAGGCGACAGTTGTTGAAGAAGTTTAGCGCCATCACGGCGATGGCTAAAGCGGCAGACTCCAACACCAGGAGGCTGCAAGACGGCCCTGATCACGGGCAACTAGTCAATGGTGAGCAATGACAGAAATTTGCTTTTTCGCAGTCTTTTTAAGCCACAACAATATTTAGATATTTTTTTTTCTAAATACAGACATAAAGTATTTTACTAATATTTGTATATATGTAATTTATATAATCAATGTGTTAACCCACCATCGAGTATTTCTGCACTTCCTGAAGGTTGATTGGTAGAGAATGCCTATAGCATTACGTCCGCCTTTTGTACAATAATTTATTGGTCAATAAAGTTTTTAATAAATAAATAAAGATAGACAACACCAAATCCAATGCAAACAATCATACATATGAATATAAATGTTTGTACCATGCGAGGATACAACCGGTGATCATCAGAAGTAAAGCTGTCTGCTAAACCGCTAGACAAGTACATTTAGGTACTTATTTTACACTTCCAAGCACCTTTTCTTCAACAGATTTGAAAATGTGAAGTTTTTGTATAAAGACATATTCACGCGTAATGCAATAAGCATTACGAGTGTGATTAAAATTTGTTAATTTTATTGAATATATTAAATTTGTCTATACATATATGAATAAATAGTCTGTATGTACAAAATAAAATACGTTTGCGTTAGACAAATACGTTCCCTATTTTTCTATACTGTTTTAATATATTTTGATTGTATTTAATTTTTTATTGAGAATTGCTTAGGTGCTTATGTGAGTTTGAAATTTTAATGGACTTTTGAACTTGCGGTATTAACTTACAATATTGCGTAACTTGTCATTCTGGAATTCTAAATATTTACCTGAAACCTGAGGGTTTAAATATTTCAGCCTAATATATTAAATTAAGTACTCTTATAACAAGTACCTGCCTGGGTCTAGAGGTTGTGTTTTTGATACTTGCACAATATAATATGTGTATTCATAAGTATTAATACACATATTATAATAAACTAAAATTAGTCTACATGAGTTATGATTGAAAAATACCCCATTATTTTATGTCTCATTAGGAATGTAACTTTTTTTTCTTATTTACAATAGTATAGAATCTGCTGAATTTCGAATGTAATAACTCTATTGTTCAGTGTTATTTAAAGAATCATTACTTCGCATTTCAGGTACAGATATCTACGCAAACACATTACTACAGAAAAGTCCCGCTGGTCAGGAGAAAATGCTAGCAATGACCAGGCCAATGCGGTCCATGTCGCTGCGAGAGCGACACGACATAGACCTCAGGTAATAAATATTCTCATACTAGCTGTGCCCGCGGTTTTACACGCGTGAAATTTATAGCCTTTATGTTATTCTGATGTGTAAGCAATATTACTGTGAAGTTTAATTAAAATCCGTTCAGTAGTTTTTGCCTGAAAGATTAACAAACATCCGTTTACATACAAACTTTCGCATTTATAATATTATTAAAATAAGATTATCAATGAAATGAACTGTTTTTTTTAAATAAATGTAACTGTTTACTTCAAATAAATATAAAGTACTTGTAATATTTTGTACATTCGGAGATATTGGCGATTGTTTGTTGTATTTTAAAATTGAACTAGGGTTGATGGCGCACTTGTGGAGGAGATATTTGTATAAACTACAGTACCTCAAGATGCCAATTTTGCATATTTGTAATACCAGTAGTATTCTAAAACCTGACATCCCTGACTTGTAATTAATACTCAATGATACTATACACTAGTAGTTCTTCTTCAGTGGGTGTCCTCTCTCCTACTGAAGGTTGGCCATCATATTGGTGATCTTAATCTTGTCTGCCGCCATTCTGAACAGGGAACTGGTGCTAATCCCAACTTTATTTTAAACTACAGTAACCATTTACAATGTGAGGCTCAAAACGAAGTGGAAGCAATGGTCGCCAGGGTGCAGCACTCGGCCCATCAAATCCACATGATCGCTGCTGAAATGCCTCATCATCACCGCAGCGACACCGACAGCGGGGTATGTATTAAAAATAAACACGTACACTCAAACATACATGTTATAACAAAGATATTAAGGCTGAATTTAAAACATCGATGAGGTAATCGATATTTTTAATTAGAATGACATAAGCTGACGTCCTCCTCAGCACTACACTCGCGCTACATCGCGTTATCCCCCGTGATCCCCGTGGCCATTCCAGAAGACTAATGAGCCAGAGTTACCAAATAAACTTACTAATATACAATAAATAGTACGATTATTTCACCTGTATACTCACTACCTACATATAACGACAAACAAACAAATTGTGTAGCGACACCTCATCACATCACATATAACGCACAGTGGTGAAGAATAACCACCGCGCTACAGCACCAACATCCGATATATTTATTTCATAGTCTGGGGTATTTCTACATCCTCTATTGTACCACATACTTGATAATTTTGTGAATTGCATTTTTTTCACTCATAGGCGGAATATAGAGAAACTGCCAGTTGCCACCTGTATACCTATATTGAGCAAAATAAAGTGATTGATTGATTTAAAAAAGTAACTTTGCAAAAGGATAATATCCAAAACGGAGTCTATCATCATCGCAGCCCGGAAGACGTCCACTGCTGGACATAGGCCTCCCCCAAAGATCTCCACGACGATCGGTCCTGCGCTGCTCGCATCCAATGCCTTCCCGCGATCTTGACCAGATCGTCGGTCCACCTTGCTGGAGGCCTTCCCACGCTGCGTCTTCCGGTCCGTGGTCGCCACTCGAGGACTTTACTGCCCCAACGGCCATCTGTCCTACGAGCTATGTGCCCTGCCCATTGCCACTTCAACGTCGCAATTCTTCGGGCTATGTCGGTCACTCTGGTTCTTCTGCGGATCTCCTCATTTCTGATTCGATCACGCAGAGAAACTCCGAGCATAGCCCTCTCCATTGCCCTCTGAGTGACTCTGAGCTTATTGATGGGGCCCATAGTTAGCGACCACGTCTCTGTTCCGTAAGTCATCACTGGCAACACACATTGGTCGTAAACCTTCGTCTTGAGACACTGCGGAAATTTGGACGAAAAGATATATCGGAGCTTCCTGAACGCTGCCCATCCGAGTTGGATTCGACGATTGACCTCTTTCTCGAAATTGGATCTACCTAGCTGGATAGTTTGCCCTAAGTATACGTAGTGATCGACAATTTCGAGTGTAGAATCTCCGATTTTTACGGGAGCAGGTACGACATGGACGTTTGACATAATTTTCGTCTTGTCCATGTTCATTTTAAGACCTACTCCTTGTGAGACTCTACTGAGGTCTTCGAGCATTTTGCTAAGGTCTTCCAGGGTCTCAGCCATGACCACGATATCGTCGGCAAATCGAAGGTGATTGATGTACGGAGTCTATACATTTTTACAATTATTTTTTTTGTTGTTTTCCGCAGATGTGCAGTTGTTCCGTAAGCGGATCAGTCACCAATATATCGACATCGTCCTCACACAATGATTCACTGCACAACCATCAGCTGATGAACAATTCAGGTTGGGAATTCATATTTCATATATAAATTTCTGTTGACTCATTTGTGTTTACAAATCTTTTTAAGTTTATACATTGTAGAAATATACTAGATTCTAGTGTTTGGAAGAAAAACAAATTGCTCCTTTTCGGTATCAAAGTATTAACTTTGAGCCTTCTTCATTGGTAGTTTCAGAGTTCTCGTGAGACAGTTACTTTAGAGTCATTTACTATGTATGTGATAAGCGCCAAGCTTAACAGAACTTGTGTTATGGGCACTAGAAAACTTCAAATATAGCAAGTGTTTGAGAGCATATATATATATATTTATTAGTAGGATAGATTCTGCTCTACGTTTGTTCGTAATATAATATACTAGCTGACCCGCGCAACTTCGTCTCCATCACAAGTGATATTTATCAGTATATATCGCTCAATTTACATAATATTCTTAATCTGATGTATAAGCTATATTACTGTAAAGTTTCATCAAAATCCGTTTAGTAGTTTTTGCGTGAATGTATGCTTGTTACTCATTCACAGATCATGGATGGACCATAATCACAAACTTTCGCGTTTATAATATTAATAAGATATTTCTTAAATTTTGTTTTCTATTCCAGGTCCTATATACGGCAATCTGTTGTCATCAGGAGGTAAACCACTGTCATCGCCGACAGCTCGACAACAGCAGCAACTGGCTGCTATACAAGCTGCCAACGCTCGACGGCTGCCTCCCGAAGTTCCGAAGAGAACTAGCAGCATAACGCTGAAGTAAGTCAATCAATCATATTGCATAAAAACCTCAAGTAGATATCTGTGTCAAGATAAACCGAGGCATGTTTTTTTACTGGCTCTAAAGTTATTAGTGCAAGAATGGCTTGAAGTTAAAGGGTCAAGTACAGTAAGGGACTACCCATAAATTAAATTACACTCTAAGGAGGTGAGGGAGGGTATCGAGGAAATGTGACATTGTGTGACAAGCTTTGGAATCCTAAAGTCCTAAGTTTATGATTTCACATCTCAAAATTTAACATATGTAAGCATGAAAACGTGAAATTAGCCCTATATACGGTGACAATACATGGATTTGACTAATTATTATATATCCATTTGGTGGGACGTCGCCTTGTTTACCGTTCCAACTACATAAAATTAACGGCGGGAAAGTAGATTGTTAGCAATGTGAACTGATGACCTCATTGCTAGCAATGTACCATGTTAAGTTAACCTCCATGCGGTTCCCTCAGAAACTATTGTGACATATTCCTGGTGATTTTTTTACCTTAGGATAACTCACCGGACTTCATGTTCATCTTATCATCATTAATTGGTGCCCATCCAGTAAACCGTTAGCGCAGGCAGGTGCACCATTCTAGTATCATCAATTAAAAAATAAAATTAACATCATTTTTTATGTTATTCCAGTGCGGAGAGTCCAGTGTCGCTTCGTCGAGCTGAATGTGGTGGTGCCGTGGTCCGTGGTGGCTCAATGTCCTCGGTGCAGTCGAGTTCCTCGTCATCCTCACAAGAGCACCGTCATCATTACCACCAACCATACCAGCCAAGAGCTCCGGTTAGTACCATATTTGATCACCAGCAAGTTATGTTATGTTATCAGTCCAGTGCTTTATATCGCTTTACTTTCGATAGTCGCGGGTTCGATTCCTCGCACGGTACAAACATACTTAAAATGTATTCTTAAGGCAACGCCAATTGCTCTTCATTAAGCAACAATTTTTGTAGATAGGTTGAAGTATCTGTTGTCAAAACATTGAACGAAAAGACTTAAATCCGTAACACATACAGGGCTTCTGTTTGTTTTTATTATACGGTAGCTCCGTATACTAGCTTCTCTTGAAGAAACAGTATACTGGCGAGGTACCATTCCAGGATAAGAGAAAGTGCTTCCGATAACATAGCCTATATAAACAGATTGGCTTGGAAGTGAAAGCACAATGGTTCTCATGATCGTCGATATGGAACGAATGGGATGACTTCTCTTTTATTAATAACTAACTCAATGAAGAGTTACAGAAACCGAAATAGCATGTATTGTGTCAATTCTTGTTTGAACATGTTTATGTCACCGGAAATGGACTGTCGTGTAATGAGGCATGATACCTAAATTTTCTTCTCCTATTATCCAATTAATACGTCTGTGTTTCTTATTGTGTTAGTCAAAAAATATGTTGCATTCATTCAATTAAAAATTTAAGACCTAACAAATCATTGAACATTGACGTATTGATACCAGCATGATATCCTGCATTAACCCTTACCCTTCCACCTAGGAGCCACACGTGCACATCCAAGAGCAGCACTTCCAACACCAGCGTACAGCATCCGGGACGGTGTATGAAGGACCCGAGCGGTACGCAGTGTGGAAACGGCAAGAAGCGCCCCCATACTACGAAGCGCCTCCTCCACCAGCGGCGTGCTGTCGACCCCAACATGAACATCATCAGATACGTCATCAGCCGCTAAAGGTAGAGTTGAAACAGATAGGATGCTGTGTCAGATTAATTAGAAGAGCTTAGGTTTTACTGAGATCATCGTTGCTGAGATGGACATTCTAAATTTCAGGAATCATATCATATAGGTCTAGGTTATCATATTGAGTTGGTATTTGATATACCGTAACAAACAAACATAATTAACTTGATGTCAATGTAACTATTGAATTAATAACTTGACGGCCCCGGTGTTTGTCAGTTTAGCATACCACTTTACTTTCGATTGTCGCGGGTTCGATTCCTGACACGGTACAAACATTGTATCAATGAGTATGATTGATTGTATCGTTCTGGATGTTTTCTATATATATATTTTTTCTTGTATAACTTGTTTAGTATCCATAACACAAGCTCTGTTTAGTTTTGGGCTAGATAGCGCTGCGTGAATTGTTCAGGATTTATTATTATTATAACTATTGTCTGTTTGCTACGGTATATATGTGTAAATACCCAGTGTACAAAAACTAAAAAAGGTAAAATTCCATCGACTATTTATATGTATGTATGTCCCTTATCACACAATGTTTGTGGAAAGTGATTTATTATTACACAATGGCCTAATTTTTATATATTGTTCTCTCACATATCTGTAAATGCGACCAGACAATTGCTAAGATATTTGAATGAATAATTATAATCGCATGTAAAAAATACCCCAGTCTATTGTTCTTGCATAATCATATTGTTTATTGTCAGTGCGGTTTTATTGTGTGGTATCTTTCCTTTTGTACATAATACTTCAAAGGTTATAAAAGAAGTAATGACCTATTTTAACATGGATTAATGTGACATGGTCCGCTCGCCGTACTCTGGTACCAATGGATGATAAATATATATGAAATATATATGAAGTCAGGTCATTAGAACAGCTTAGGGAATTCACCAGCAATATATCATATCAATATATGTATATATCAATATATAATATCTCAATATATCATCATCATTATTTTCTCATGATGACAGCAGGTTTCCAGGGCAGTGAGGCGCCAGTGATACAGGGGGGCCTCGTGGAGGTCGACCAATTACAGTACATTGCTAGCGATGTATATTATATGAGTAGAATAGTATATGAGGACTACGTAGGAAAGGATTGTAAAGAATTATGGACATTACTAACAATGCTTTTCACTCTTAATAACAATTAATTATATGAAATATTTGCACAGGTGTCGGAAACTGTCCGTAAGCGACAATACCGCGTGGGATTGAACCTCTTCAATAAGAAACCAGAACGGGGCATCGCGTATCTGATCTCGAGGGGTTTCCTGGAGAACTCCCCGCTGGGTGTCGCGCGGTTCCTCATCACCAGGAAGGGGCTCAGCAAGCAGATGATTGGAGAGTACCTGGGGAATCTGCAGAGTCAATTCAACATGGCTGTCTTGGAGTGAGTGGTCTCGCGTTTTTTTAATAATATATAATTTTAACTGTAAACTAAGATGTAAACGGAGTCATTGCCAACTGTCAACGTTGTGGTATATAAAATACTTGACTTGTCCACGCTTTCTTGTTGTTCTTTGAATTCTGTGTGGCAGAGTGAATTACTGTAGTTACACTAAGTAACCAACCACTGTTCTCTAAAACATAAAACATTAGAAAGAGATATAATTAAAAGCTCTTTTTTCTCACAGATGTTTCGTGAACGAGCTGGACCTATCAGGCATGGCCGTGGACGTAGCATTACGGCGATATCAGGCCCACTTCAGGCTGCCTGGTGAGGCGCAAAAGATAGAACGCCTGGTAGAAGCGTTCGCTCGTAGATACTGCATTTGCAATCCTGACTTCGTACAGCGTTTGCGTACTCAAGACACGGTTGGTATTAGGTTTTATATTTTAACCAACTTCAAAAAAGAAAAACTTTCATTTACTAATTTATTTGCTTATATTGTATGATATTGATTCTACACTAGACGACCTCGGTAATTACCCGTTTAGACTTTACACTGCCTTTATTTCTAGGTTGTGATTGCAAAAGATTTTTGCTCGATTTTTTATGCTGACATGAGACAGCTTTCCGAATGAGCGGTACATTTAAAAAAGAAGTATGTGCGTAGGGCAAGGAAAAAACTAAGCTATATATTCATATAAGTGGTAGCGTAGTGGTAGCTCGATGATAAAAATGAATACGTAAATAACGAAATATATTAAAATTTAATTGGCTATAAGTGAATTTACTAATAATATGAATTAAAATTAGGTAGTGATGTTTTATTGAACTACACTGTGCAACGACCCGCCAAAGATAAAAATAAAAAGATATTTTCTTTTAAAAAAAGAAAAATCCTTTTTTCCAGATATTCGTGTTGGCTTTCGCCATAATAATGCTAAACACGGATCTGCACACGCCCAACTTGAAACCTGAGGCGCGGATGTCTCTCGACGACTTTGTGCGCAATCTGCGCGGCATCGACGACTGTGGTGACATCGACCGAGATATGCTGGCCGGCATATACGACAGAGTGAAATCCAGTGAATTCAGACCCGGCAGCGACCACGTTACACAGGTATGGATCGGCATATATGAATGATGATTTAGGAATCAATTCATCATCTTACAATACTAAACTGTTAAGGAAACTCATACATTTCCTTCATTGTATTTATTCATAATAATTGACATTGTGTTGAATTATTTCTCACAGACTTATAGTAACAATTTCGACGAAACGTGATGACTGCGAAATGATTATATTCATCGTTATATTCTTATGTTAATGCTATAAATAATTATCAGCCTCGGTAGTCTAGCGGTTGAGCACACCGCTCTACTTCCAATGGTCGCGGGTTCGATTCCTGGCATAGTACAAATATTTGTATTCATAAGTAAGATTGCTTCCTATTGCTGCAGCAGTAGCTTGCTTTATAACAATATAAAAAATGTTAATTTATGCTAAACACTTACAAAATCTGAAAAGGTCTGTTGTTATTAAAAATATAACAATAAATATAATTTTATCTATGTATTTATTACATTGATACATTTACCTATATCATGTCGATGTAAAGTTAACTATAACATTGTGTGATAATTAATGATAAAATGATGAAATCAGGTGATGAAAGTGCAAGCAACAATAGTAGGCAAGAAGCCGCACTTGGCTCTTCCCCACCGTCGTCTCGTGTGCTACTGCCGACTCTACGAGATACCAGATATACATAAGAAGGAACGGCCCGGGGTACATCAGAGAGAGGTAAGTTTCACGAATGTTTTTTATTAATTTAAGACTATTTTCCCAATTCTTCTTATGTATTAGCTGTCTTTACACATGCGCTCTTTCACGTGGGAAAGATTGTGCATGTACATGTAAACATGCACAATCTTTCCTGTGTTAAAAAACAAAGAAAACTACAAAGATCTCGCCCGCGCCGTTTGTACTCGCGTTCTGCAGTTGTGCGTGCTGTAGCGCCTTTTTGTAATAATTATTTAAAATTGCAAAATGACTGACATTTAACTATAACAGTAGTAGCAAAGATTATTTATAGAGTTAAATACTAAAGCGTATTTTTAGGAAATAAAATCTGTGGAATATAAAATAAAATATAAAACAAAGTGAAACGATATGTGAAAGACCATGAATGACATAAAAACAATCACTCACGTTTGCGCGCGCATGCTTTCCCGCGCTAAATATACACAAGTCTATATATTTGCGATTAGCGGTAATGTGTGTACAGTTACTCTGTCATAAAGCTGACCACTTCTGTATTCCAGGTGTTCCTGTTCAATGATCTGCTGGTGATTACGAAGATCTTCAGCAAGAAGAAGTCATCTGTTACGTATACGTTCCGGCAGTCGTTCCCTCTGTGTGGAATGTCTGTAAACTTATTCGCTGTGCCACGTAAGTTTTCAGAATTAAGTTACTAAATAGCTTACTTGAAGGGTGAGAGAAGGTGGTATCACAGGATAAGAAGGCATAACAGTAACAATTTAGTTCTCAGGAATGGCAACGCATAATGTTATAAAGTCTATAACTCTATATTTTGTCTATTTAGGTGTTATATTGCGGAGGTCCATTTCATTATTGAATGGATTTGTATTATTTTGTTTAAGTCCACAACGATTAGCATGTGTGAAATCAGAATACGATTGTAATATGGACTAGACTACAACCAAACCATAGTAGACTAACAGTCCAAATTTGATTACCAAAAGAGAAGATCGTAACACTCCCAGTAGTGATGGTCAGTACGGAAACCTGACCATCGCTACTTTCTGTTTCGGTGAGAGGGCCTCTAGCTGTTTAGTATACCGCTTTACTTCCGTTGATCATGAGTTTGATTCCTCTCACGGTACGGTAGATATTTTTTGTAAATACAACAAAAAATATCTATGTATTTCTATCAGTTGTATAGTACCCATAACACCAGCTCTTCTTACGCTTATGTGAATTGTCCAAGGTTATTATTATTATTTATATATCTTTATTTACCCACGCTGATGACTTATTACAAAGACAATCTTGGTAAAAATTATAATGTAATTTATTATTTCAGATTATCCATTCGGTATTCGACTCTCTCGACGAGTGGACGGACGTCGACTGGCGACGTTCAACGCACGCAATGAACACGACCGCTGCAAATTCGCAGAAGACCTACGCGAGAGTATCGCGGAGATGGACGAAATGGAAGCGATGAGGATCGAGGGCGAACTGAACAGAGGGAAGGGCAGAACTGGAGGCAATAATAGACAAGGTGAGAAGAATATTGAAAACCATTTATATTTTGTATTGATGTTTATTTTTGTAGCGAATCAAGTTAAAAACAAAATGGGAGTAGTGTCGTATCACCATTTAAAGAGCATGATGAAATTATGAATGAATCTTTTGCATTATAATGACAGTATTTTAGTAAATACAGTAGAATCTTTTGAAAAGTATAAGTCGTAAGAAAAACACGACCAGTCTTTCAGACCTTTCAGCAACGGTATTTCTGAATGGATACGATATTGAAACCTTCAAGAGAAGAGCTTATTCCGTCCTAAAAGGCCGGCAACGCAGTTGCAATTCCCTTGCTGTTGGTGTGGCGGTAATCACTTACCATTAGGTGTGCTGCAAGTTCGATTGTTCTCTACGCTATATAAAAAATGAAACTGCAAATCCCTGCAATTTCATCTGCGTCACATTAATCTCATTATTGCTTCGGTCCTATTGGGTGTAGTGTTATTTTTATTATTCAGATTAATGGTTTATCTAGTATTAAAATAACATTTCAATTCAAACCAATAGTTCCTGAGATTAGCGCGTTCAATCAAACAAAGAAATAAACTCTAAAACGTAATAATATTAGTATAGATTTTAATGTTTGTGATTGTTATGGTAAATCAATGTCTATCTAGAAGCAATAGAACAAGTTTTATATATTGTTGAGATATATATTTTGGATTATATTATACTTTCACTTACCCGCATTTCGACTGCTTTTTTTACATAAGAATTTATAGATTTCTATCAATGTTTTCTTAAAATCTATCTTTACATCAAATTTCAACTCTTTTTTCCGTTCTCTTGTTATTGTTCATTAGTATGTGTTACATTATATATTCCACTAGAGTCGCTCATATGTATATCTCATCATACATTTTTAATTTATTCCCTACTTACTTGTTTGCAGTAATGGAGAACAGAGACAGCGGTGTAGCGGACGTCGAATTAGACCACCAACAGTGTATGGATCACGTGCATATGCATGGGTGAGTCATTAAAACATCATACATGTCCAACTTAAACTTCAAAAAAAGGAAATAGCTCGAAACATTATACTTTTTAATTAGTTTTCGAATTAATAAAATTTCTTAAAAGGAAAGGATAAAATGGGTAAAATCGGTTTACTACACGTTTAACGTTTTGTTAACAAGAAAATATATGAATGGGATAATGGTTTATAATTAATATATTGTAGTTAATATGGTTTAAACACAAATAAGAATAATGTAATAAATCAATAAAGGTTAATCTTTAAGTTAAATACATTTCGTGTTAAAATCCGATTAACCGTATTATTAAGTGTTGTAGTAATAAAAAAAAAGACTTGGTAAAAACAGAGAAAATATATTAATAATAGACTGACATATTAGGAACAGAAAGAATGAATTGAATTATCAAAAACAAGAATGTAATATAAAAGAACTATAAATTTAAATACAAATTTAGAATATAAAATACATATCTGATTAGCCAGTTACAACACTCCCTCTTAATCAGAAATGGTCAAAAAGCAATAAAAAAAGGAATTACAAAAAAATATATATTTGCCAGCCCTATACCTACTATGTGTTTGATAAAACATCAGCAGGCAGCTTTTGAAAATATTCTAAAAATGAAATTTTATTATATATCTTTTCTCTATAAATTAAAAGATATATTTCGTTCTATTATAATACAAGTCACATGACCAAAAATAAAGCCAAAAAATATCAAAGAAAAGATAATGAAAAATAACAATATAAGTATGAAAATATATGTACAAAAATATAGTATCTCAGCACTATTACTATATAATTTAATTGTACAATCATATTATTTCCTTTATCGTTCTAATAAACATATATGGCTGTAAGAGAAGATCAATAAAATCTATATCTAGGGCATTAGAGTTTACAGTATATTATAGGCATCACTAATATTAAACTCACTGATACAAAATCTATAATGTATATTACAAGTTCTATCAATTCCATACCTCTTGATGAATTATAACAGGGACATGGATACCACCAGCACAACCATATATTGCTCTGGATACCACCAGCACAACCATATATTGCTCTATCAGGTACAACCACAATTAATACCCACAGGGACGTAGACAATACCAGCACAGATTTTAATCATATATTGCGCCATCAGGAACACCCACAATTAGTTCCCAAAAATCCTCAAGCACTAGTCACAACTCTTCATATATTACCGTCAAAGGTCGGGACGATATATATCAATTAATTATTTTAATAATAAAATAACTTATCCATAAGACAGATTCCAAAAGTGAGACTTCGTAGAAGTATATATTATGACAGCAACGTATTAATCTTGTATAACATTGTCAATATGAGCTAAGTTTTCAAAAGTCGCCATAACTGCATATTTATATTTCCCTATATGTTCAATATCTGATAGACTTCATCTATATAATCTTCTCTATGTCAATCTATGTCCCATCCCTCTATCTTTAAAAGCATCTAGTTGCGATGTCCATGCTTCGGGCTTTATTGAGCACATTTTACGTGGACTACTGCTCCACCGACTACCGTGAGGCATTACTTCGCAATTGCCTTTATTCCTTGCTTTCTGATCTGCACCGTAAGCGCATATTAGTGATCACAGATCCTAGAATTGGGCATTTTAAATATCCACGAAGGATCCCTTATTTACTAGTAAAAGACAACGACGGAATTGATGAGGAATTCGACTTACTATGTAAATTTTTCTCCGTTTGTTTTCATGTGACATTTTTGAAGAAAATATTTTTTCTTATTAACACAAAAATATTCACAATAAACCGTCTTCTTCAACGAATTTAATTTAAAATCTATAATGTGTTAAGCTCGTGCTGATAACGTGTTAACAAGTAGTAATAAGAAAAAAAGACTTGGTAAAAACAGAGAAAATATATTAATAATAGACTGACATATTAGGAACAGAAAGAAATGAATTGAAATTATCAAAAACAAGAATGTAATATAAAAGAACTATAAATTCAAATACAAATTTAGTATATAAAATACATATCTGATTAGCCAGTTACAACATTAAGTAACTATAATGGTATATTGTTACCAGCGTGGTGGTGCCCCCACCGCCCACGTGTCCGGCGCCGGCGGCCCCCTCGCGTATGTCCAATCCACCGCCGACGACTATCATCAAGCGCAACGTACTCTCCAACTCGCTGGTTGATATCAATGATCCAGGTCAGTATGATCAAACGTTTTTTTTTATTTGTTAGGTCATCAACAAAGGTTTACTAACCAACCAACACAATTACATTATATATAACACATGTAGTTGATATTTGTATGAAAAATTTGTATGTTAATGATATAGGCCCGTAACTCGTTGAAAAAATCGTAACCTGTTAGTTAGTGTGAATGGTTTAATGTTAATACGAAGGCAATGTACGATGTAATGTAAATAATTAAGATTTGCATGGCTTTAGACGCCAATATTCTTAAATTTGCAATCAAGCGAATAGATAACATACGTATCAACATTTTTTTATATTGATATCTGCAATCGTAAAAGTGAATCTATATGACTCTATGTAGATTTTCTTACCACTTAACTGCTAACTCTTGTAACAGATTACAAGACTTACAAGTAAAGTACATAACCAATCCACGATATGTTAAAACATTGACTTGTAAATTCTGTAAAATTTGTATTCACACTGTAGTTTGTATTCACACGTTTCGACTTGTAAATTTAAACTTAATTTAAAAGAGCAACACACAAGTTTCTTGCACGTTCTTCTTGTGATGAGACAGCTTTCCGATTGAGCGGTAGATTATAAAAACAATTGTTATGACTATTTCAAAAGTGCTTAAATTAAGTTTATTTGAATAAATGATTTTCTATTCTATTCTATTCTGTAATTTACTAATCTGTAAAAATCAGTAGCTTGAGGAAATTAGCATTTTTACCAATTGGTTCACGTTACAGTGGCGCTAGCAGCAGAACGCTTACAACGTCGCGGGTCAGTGGGATCTCTGGACAGCGGCATGTCTGTATCATTCCAACAAGGCAGCCGCAACGCACTCCACGCCACCTCACCGAGACATCCAACCGACCAACGATCACCAGGTGCGTCCTTATATCTTATTTTCATAGGAAGACCTTATTTAAAGACTACTTGAGTGCTTTGGCACACCTATTCCTGACGTCAAGCAAGTACTTTTCTAGTAAATGAAATAAGTATATTGAATGTCGTTAGGGACTAACGATGCAATCTGCCACGGTAGCTGATACATCTCACCCTTCGGCCAGTAGTAGCCTCCTTCATGAAAGTGGTCAGCATGTTGGTGGAAACCTAGTGCAATTAATACCATTTATGTTAAATTAGTTTTAAATTCTATTACAGGTCGCCTCTTCAGTGGCATGTTCCCTGGTCGACAACGGAAACTAAGCGCATCAGGTGTACCTGACACTAAACATGCCCAGGTCGGAAAAAGTACTGAGGTTTAAAACGGTCGACATGTCGAAACACGCTGCGGACGCATAGAGACGCCATTTTGCAAACAAAACAATTAATTTATTGTCTATACTTTTCAAATGCATCATAGACTAAATGCGTTCAGTTATAGCATTCGATAGTTCAGACTTTTCTGAAGTTGATCTGATTTATAATCTCTTAAGTATCTTATAAATAATAGTGAATTTTGTGATTTTGTCCTTGGAATTAAAGTATATATTTAAAGTTATAGATATAAACATAAATTTGAAGTTATATTACCCAGAGAGACTGGGCACAAAGGAGTTTACGAGGATACCTCTGTCTCCACCTAATTTTGATACAGAGGTATTTAGGCCTGTGGGGTACCGTGAGGGTCACACTCAATTTTGTGATGTTCGAGACGATGTTTAGACATTTTCCACCCGGAAGGTTATTAGCTTATTTGCTATTCAGCAGTTAGATAAAAAATTGGAGTTATATAAAAACAATCTGGAATTGTTAATCAACTTCAAAGTCTGAAATATCATGGTTCGATTTAATTCTAATGTATATTAAAATTGGTTTTATAGTGCCATCCTTCTTGTATCTTTTTGTAAGAGATTGTGTATATGAATTTGACTTTATTTATAATATTAACAATTATTACCGGCTCTTTATATTAATTTGATAGAATTTGCGTACGTAATAATCAAGATTTGAATTCGCATGCCGCTAAATATGATACCGAAACCTTAAGACACCTAATCCATAAATACATCATATATCTAATAAATCTTTTATAACAATTGAAATATTTTGTCCTTCTCAATCTGGATATTTTCTTGATTAAAAAAAAACGATACGATTAAGGGGTAAAGGAGTTAAACTTACTTTGTTGTAAGTTGGTATTTATACGAATAAATTTAGTACAAGGATTTGCAATAAAAAAATTAATACAATGCATGAATTCTATTAGGTAAAATGTATTGAAATTTGACCAGCCGGTCTACTCTGGAAGCAATTCCGATCCAATGACATTTGATTGTCCGTTTCGCACCTGTTAAACTCTAGTATTGTTAATTCAATGTTTTGTGGTCAAAGAACTAACCGGCATTGTTACCGATTTCGTCATAATTACGACTCAAATAATATCTACGAGGTAAAAATTCAATAATATTGATAATTAGTCTTCAGAGTAGACCCGCGCATGAGATATGAAATAGTAGAATAATATTTTTATTATTACAAATATTGTCGTCTTAGTGTATTCCTGCCTAAAATAATAATAAACATATGACAATTGTTGGTGTCAGGCTCTTAACGGTCAGGGTAAAGGTTTTATAAAGGTATATTGGTTATATAAAGATGGTTACTTCCTAATATTAGTGCCAATACGGTGACGCGATCTTTCCATATGTTTAAAATATAGTCATGACTCCATTTGACAATATCGTGTTTTAGGAACGAAATTCATACGTGTTAATAAAAAGTTTGAGAATTTTTGAAGACTATAAAAATCATTATTATTAATTGATTAACATGAAATAAACTTCCTTTTTATCGAAATAAGTACATTCTTTATGCATTTATTTGAAAAGATAAATATAATGTTTTGAAACTCAAGTTTTAATGTATTCAAATACATTATAAAATTAAGAATATTTTGAATCAAATATATAATTGTAATTAGATATAATATGAGTCTTTAATGTCACCTTACGAACTCTACAAAACAAGCCAAGTTATAAGAAAACTCCTTCAAAACTTTTAAAATGTAATATAATTGTTTAAATAAAATAAAGTCTATAAATTAAAAATAATATCTGTTAAATAAATTTCAAATTGACATTTATTATTATTATTATACAATTTAATAATTAATTCATTATGTAATATAACTAAATGGGGCATTACATTATCAATAATACAAATGGAATGATTAGTCGTACGATCACAAATATTGGGTCCAGGTTTTTGAAGGTAGATGTTGTAGGGTACGGTTCCAATTAAAGGCCATCACTGATTTTCGATTTAAAACTTATATCATTTTAAACACTTCATAACTTAGGTATTATATAAAGGACTTAAAAGATAACTATGAAGTTCAGTAATATAGTTTAAAGGATTTCAAACCCATAATGGTCATTTAAAAATGCATTTATCATCGTTCCGGGTTACATGTTACCATAAACAAAGTATTAAATATTTCTTTATCATAGAGGAAAAGCATAGATTTTATCTTAGCATTTGTTCATGGTGTTTCTTTAGAATAATTGTATATACGTTCGGAATAGTGGGTACAATAATAAGCAGTAGGATCACATAATATTTTTTGGCACACAACAATATAGTAATGATACTTATATCACGGTAAATTAAATTAAATATAATTATAGTAAAAAAAATACGAATTTATTCACTATTGTTGATGAATTTTATTAGCTATATAGGTCGTTTGGAGATTTGAATAGGATAATAAACTGCTGTATCCTCATCCTTAATTCCGAGGTGTGAATCTCGTTTAAATGACATCTAACTGTCAACTATATTTCTATCAAAATGTCCATTCATATAGAAATATATTGAATAAGTGTATAATCTTCCAGAAACTTCCTAATAATTTGTTAGACTGTACCTATAGTCTAATTATAGCGTTCCAAGTATGATGCCTGAGTGAATGTTACCGTTTGATTTCCATGAACATTTACCATGAAGTATACCTAAATAGTGATAAGTAATAATTATAACTCGTGGCCGGTCTGCAAGCAGATTTTCTAGTGCATATATAAATATATATGAACAAATCTAATAATATGTAAAGTGATTTAAAAGCTGTGAATCGTATCAGAATTTTTCTATTAAAGTAGGCATAGATAGAGACAAAACTAATACGAATGTGGAAGCCAAATAGATTTAATTCTATCTAACGGGGTTATTACACTATCATATACATGAGTTCATATCTAGATCAAGTTATGCATCTAGTAGGTAGCAGCACTTACAATATCATGAAATAGATAAGAGACTTAGGTTAGGTCTAACCTGTCATAATTTTTTTTACCCTGTACTTATAACCTTAGTACACACATATGATCTTAGATATATGATAATGTAATAACCCTAAAAGACCGGCCAGTAATAAAAAAAATGTTGATTAATATAAAGTAGCTACTGTTGACTTTGTACCGGTTATAGGCTTGTTGTTTCTACTGTTTGATACGTGGGTAGATAGAAAATAACTGTTGAAATATATTCTTAAAAAAAAAAAAGAATTTTTCAATCTATGACAATCTCTTTTCTACTTTCATTGATAGAATATGTACTCATTATTTCTGATTCTTTAATGGATTAATTCTAAAGTTTTTACAGATTGTTGAAAGAGTAATTCGAAAAGTAAATAATCCATTAACTCCACGTAGATATTATATTTATATTTCTACTTCATTTGAATAAGTTTAATTATCTATTTTTGTAACTTTTATGAATAAAAAGATTTCTTTTTTTACACATTTAAAATAGATTTAGACACATTTGTAAAGCAGAATATTGAGGAGTAATACAACAAATACTACCTGTAAAATATTACATTCAAGAAAGTTTTTTTTTATATAATACATATTTGAAATATGTTTATCTTGTTCAGTTTTAAGCGTGAAGCTATTCTAGTATAGTCTAGTCTATACTAGTTTGATCCAGTTCGGTTGAATCTCCTTTTATATATGTACTTCGTATTGTCTAAGATTTGATTGTCATACTTTAAGATTTACAGTCAGCCACACTTATACCTATTATCATTGTTTATTTATTTTTCGTTTTACTACATATATTGAATTAGTTATGGCGTTTCAGTATATTTTTTGTTGATTATGTATTTGTGAGGCCGACTGTACATAATTTACGTCTGTTCTAGTACTAAAAATAATGTAATGCATGACAAAAGGAAAGGAATTGATTAAATGTTTCTTGGTTGGATTTAAACTTTTAAATATATTGTAATAAAGTCGAATTATATTCTAATCCTATTAAGGGCTGATATTTCAAAATGTGACCAAGGATAATGCATTAAGACTTTTCGTTTGATATTGTCTGAAATATAAAATATTTGATTATTGTGTATTCATTATATTTGATTAATGTGTTGTTTTTTTACATTTTCATACATTGGTACATTTACCCCAATTATCAAGAGTATTTTAAAATGATTTTCATAAAAATAAGATATCAGCCCCAATAGTCTGCACCAGTGGCAAACTAATGTATATAGCAAATTGACTTCTACCACACGCATGGAAAAGAAAGGGATGCGGAATGTCGCTATCTCGCTTCATCTCATACGTGATTGATTTACTATTGATACATTTATTTGCTACTCGTCTAGACCTTGTTTTTGCGAAGTAATTTTGACGTTATTTCAAGCGGAATACGTCAGTCATTTAGATATATGATTTGTGATAATTATAGTGCGTTTCGATTTACAAATAAAACTGCGGTATATCTTACAATTACTCTACTTTGAATATTACCTACTTATAGTGAATAAAAAGTATATGATATAATGATTTATATATTCTCAAAGTGTTTGCTTACATCGGAACGTACCGTAATGTAACTGGTGTGAAATAAATTTGATTTGCTTTTGTAAATTTCGCTTGAAACCAAAGATGTAATATTTCTTGTGTTCAATGAAAACTTTGAGTTTAAAACTGCTTGTAAAAAATTAACCAGTCATACGCGCTATTAAAGGCGTGTGTTAAATGAGCTCGTATTTTTGTATCCGTATATCAAAGTTTAGCCTCCATTTTGTCGTGTGTACCGTCTCTTTCTCCAGGTGCATTCATGTATATTTTAGTTATAATTTTAATACTGCGGTGTTTAGTTATCTGTAATATTTTTCCTGTAACATACTAACTTATCCCTTAACATGTATGTATATTAAAGAGTACATTCTAATATATATCCCTTAGTTATATAATTGTTATATAAATTAGTATAAGCAATAAACGCTGATGCGTCAACTTATATGTTGTATGATAATATTGTTGAGAGATGCTACCGCTAAGTCACTTACAATAGTTTTATTTAAAAATACAAAATGATAATGTATTTATTTATTAAATATGAATTAACATTCATGAAGATGTGGTTGTTTTATTTGTCTCTTTTGTTTTTGACTTTCTACAAAGTCGTCTGTGAGATCCCTATCTTATTTATTTTAAGCAGTTTGCTTTATAAGTTGTATTTCGGTGGTGGTGGCCAGAGAAATTACAAGGTGTTCTGCCTCCGTGCAGAATTTTCGTCCTCCGGAAAGGCGGCACATCAGGAGTACCATGAGCATCACGTAACGACGTGATATAGGCGATGGTTGCCACTTATCACCAGGTAGACCATTAGCTTGCTTGCCATTGCAGTTATAAAAATTATGTATTAATTAAAAAAAAAAATGTTTTAAATGATGAAGAAATAGTTCTCTCGCATACGATGTACCAGTAAATGATACAGATTTACAGAATATAATAAAATATATTAATATGAAAAAATTGACACAGCTCCCACTAGTCCCAAGCGAAGCAGAGCTTGTGTTATGAGTAGGTACTGACTAGACAGCTCGATATACTTAGAGATTTTTTTAAATGCTTACGTTATTCATAGAAAATACTCAGCTGTATGCAAACAATCAAACTCCTAATATAAATGTTTGAATCGAACCGGCAACCATTTGGAAGTAAAGCGCTGTACTAATCCGCTACGCCATCGAGGCCATCAACGTGTAACTAAATTTTCTTTTTTTTATACAGCTAAATAGAGTTTGGTCTCTGTATTATTGATGAAAAGCCGCAGCGTGGACAATGATATGTTGCATTTCATAGGCTTCGCTTCGCTCTAAGCACAGCTTAGAGGTATACGTATCTATATTATATGTATGTATGTATGATAAACGTCATGACTTTTCTAGGCGGACAGACAGAAATGTAGTGGAGTGGTGTTGATTGTTTTTTTATTAACTGCCTTTGAAAGTGAACAAGGCAGATGATCCATTAAAAAGTTAGTGATGTGTTCACTACAATGTTAAAAATTACTTATACCTCTATCTGCGATTACAGTGTGGGTATGTATGTAAAAAAATGAACATTATATAATATATGTATTGACAGCGCAGGTTAAAGTTCTGTTATTTTTCACTCAGTGACCAAAATTGCATTCTAAACCTACTATTAATGATTATTGCTTGCAGTATATATTATTTGCAATCTTCTCACTTCAATACTGATTTCGACAAGAATCACAATCGAACTAAATTTTAATGCCGAACTTTTTTTTAAGAATGACCGTTACGATGCTTTTTTTGTTTGTTTTGATTTTTATAAAAATGTATTAATGTTGAATATCTATAGTAAAAACTATACTAAGTTTTGGACTAGATTCCGCTGTAGGACTTGTGTAGAGTTACCTATTTATCATATAAATTCTTTTCAGTAAATAATTAAAATATTAGTTGCGTGAAGAATTTGAGAGCCGCTCTATGCATTCCTATGTTCCGTACTGCGCGCTGTATCGGTAGGTATTCACTTCAGTATTAGTAACCACGTGACAATAGTTACCGTTCCTGTTAAAGATAGAAATTGTATTAAATAAACAAAATTGGGCATAAAAGTGAATTGTGAGGGTATGTATCTAATTTTTATTATATATAAAATTAGATTTTTTCTTTTATCGAAACTAGATTAAATTACATCTAAAGTAAAACTTGTTCTATAATTGACGAAGTTAACACCAAACATGAACACGGTGAAAAATACAGTCAATTTGATTTTCTTTCTTTTATAGTCGGTTGAAAATCAAACGCACAGACTACTACTGAAGGCCTTTATATGGTGAGCCTTTTGCCATTCCATGAGATAGGAAAAACCGCACAAAAACAACATAGATTATTTAGATGATTTCAGTATTCCATTAGTGTACAAAACTCTTTAATTAATAAATACCCATGTGTTTAATAGAATATTTATTAGTATTCTCCATGAAGGATTTTCTCCAAGTAAAAAAAAATACAGATTTTAATTTATTTTACTATTTAAGTATTTATGCAACAGCGATTTCACATCATCGAACTTATTATCACAATTTATAGAACACCAACACTGAAATATTTGCTACAGAACCTGCAACTATAAACCATTTAAAATAGATTTTTTGTTTGGTTTATGTGTTTGAAATGTCATCGCATAAACCAAACAAAAAATCTATTTTACATTAATTAAGTAATAATTTTACAACAGGAACTTCACTTTCATAGTTTTTGTCACCAAAACAGTATTAATAAATAACTAATAAAAGTGCTCCTTTATGTCACTTGGATTGACAAGATGGCGCCAAAACTGAGTGCCGCAACAAACGCGTGTCATGTACAAAACTGTTCTGGTAAACTAGCAAAAGGAAAAAACGACACAAATTATCCTCATTTAGTGGTAATTTAATAAAGTTAACTAAATTATAGGTATTTAATTCAATTTAAGTTTACGTTGACGGCGCGAGTCGTAAGTTATACGCGGTCAATCACCCCTATTTACAAACGATGCGATGTTGCTAAAGATTACGTATGAAAAATGAGTTTAGATTTATATTTCAAGATATTTTTATGAAGCAAAAGTTTCAAAATACATTTAGAATTAAACAATGATGTATACATCAATAAACACCATTAATCTATCACTCATATGTACCTATAATAATAAATAATGGACCTACCGTTATATTTTTGACCATTTTTTCTCGATACCTCTCAGTTTTATTATAAGCAGCAATTGTTAACAGTTTATTAAGTGAGACAATAAAGACGATTTTATTATTGTAGGTACAGATAAGTGATAGATTAATGGTGTTTATTGATCTATAATACTAAAAAGACATACGAAAAAACTTCTTACCAGATTTTATCAACATAATAGAACCAAAACCATATTGGGATATAGAATATAAATAGATGAGACAGACCTAAGAAGTCTATTCCGAATACCTACATAGACAACTTTGTACAAAGTCTCGGTAAACTTGTATTATTTATTGTTTAGAGCTATCATAATTATATATAGTCGAATATATAACATTCGAATACGCTACCACCACACCCGGGATGCTATTAGTGTCTCCCAATAGCAATCAGAGTGAGCACTGGTTATAAAGCTTACACTCTGCAAGTACATGGCTCTGTGGTCATATTGCCGATGGGCAGTGTTTTTTTTCACATTTCCTCAGAATTCTAGATGCGTTCATGACGTTTACCTTTACCTCACCGTTTGCGATAAATATTTTAGCAAGTTCTGAAAAACTTCGCCTCACTTACAAGTTCCAATCGAAGCTTCTGGAATGTTTGATTGGTTCCTCGCTTTTTTCAGTTTGGACAACAATATAGAAACAGTAGGATGTATTATTTATTCACTTCAAGTTTTTGTTGGGATTTACCTTACTTCCATTTTGTGGAGACGTATCTACTTTGAAAATTTTATATAAAAGAATTGCATACAAGTGGTAAGTGACTTATTCGGAATTTAATTCACTTCTAGCGACCCGTCCTAGATTCGCACGGATGCATTACAAATCTTTAAAATTCTTGACTTGTTCCATACTATAACACACATGTATTAAGAATCAACTTTCCTCTTGAATCACTGTATCTATTGCTAAAACCTACGTTAAAATTCGCTGCGTAGTTTATAAGATCTAAGCGAACAGACAGCGGAAGCGACTTCATTTTATACTATGTAAAGATATTATTGTATATTAAAATGCCTAGGTGGCTTTATAAGTACTGTCTACTCTAATACTACAAAATATTATATACTCGTAGAACGTTAAGACATAAGTTGTTGTTGTTCTGACGCTAACTGACCTGACCTCATCCTCATCTTATCATCCTCCACTGGTACCTGGCCAGCTTAAATGCAGGCGAGTGAACCATTATCACCCATTAAAAAAACTGTTTTATTCTCTACGCCGTTGACAGCTGAAAAAGCCTTTGACTTTTCCACCTGGGATAACAGCCGTGAAGGTTAAATTTGAAGAAGGACAATTAATACAGACGTCGGTGGATATATAAGAACACTCTTGAAATAACATTTCAGGATGGAGGAATCTTTGGACGGGAGGGAAGTTGGAGCTACTACGTCTGGCTTCGATTCGGCGACCATACTGAATGATGACGTATCACCAACCACTAGTTTCTGTTACAACATACCAAATCTTTTTAATGGGTAATACGATACTTTGATTTTGTTTAGTTGCGACCTCTATTTCTGAAGCCTTATATATAGTAACACAAACTGAATTCAGCCGCTCCATAAGTCCGTCCGCGGGTTTGGAGTGTCTTTAGTTCAGTGAAGTTATAAAGGTCAGCTGCGGCCAACAGCATTAGAATAGTTCGAAATAAAAATTAAGTTTATGCGTACAGTGAATTTATACAAACCGAATTATCTTGTCAGCCTAGAATTTAATAAACGAAAAAAATACATATATTTAGATATACAATGCAAAAAAGTCGTCTTTATAGGTCTATTAGTCTCAACTATTTCAACTGCCAAACTGATAGCTCTGTAAGCTGCATTTCAATTGTAGCCTGCAGATAGGCAGTGAAATTACGGGATAAGAGGCCCATGCCTCTCTCTCATTTCACTACCTACAATTTAGTCTCCAGAATAGCAACGCATTAGTCATCACGGATGTCAAATGATAACGTGATATCCATAGCAGTAGTGCTATGAATATCACAGCATAGCAGCATACCCGCTTATCAGGTGGCCTGTCAGGTTGTTTGTCATTACGATTACATATAGCAAAAAAAGTTCTTTTATATATGAGGAAAACTTTTTTATAATGTATGTTTGTTTATTGTACGAATTCATTAGAACCTATCTACTTACTAAATATTTTAACATACCTAAATCTTTTTATTCGTATACAGTTTAGGACCAGCTTCAGTTTTATGTGAACGGACAGACACCGACGAGAGTTATATAACCACTGAACCCTCGGAAGAAGCAGAACACCAACAGTTTGAGGATGATGAAGAATATTCACCGAAATCAAGTTAGTCATTGTTTTCATATTTAATTAAGAAGCAACTTTGGAAAATCCACTGTAAAGATTTTACTTTAAAATCTAATTTCAAAAATATGTTATTTTTCGTATTGTACTAAGTGTGCGATCTGTAAATACTTAATAAAAAATATCTACATATTAATATAAAACTAACAATAACATAAAACACAATACATCTCTAAACTTAGCTAAAGTATTAAAGTAGGTACCTAATATACTATAGCTTATATTATTATTCCAGACCTACCGTAAAAAGAGTGCATTAGCTAACATTAGGATTAAAATCGGTTGATAAGATATTTCTTATATATATCCAATAGCATGTACCTTCACAGTAAACTCGGGGAACACCTTATCACAATAACAGTATTGCTTACTAGATACTTGTGTCTATGTCTTTTTCTACGGTACATATAATGTTAATGTCTGTATAACCAACTAATCTTTGTATTTTTAAAGCAATATTTATCGAGCTATGTCTATAAGATTGTTGATGATTACAAAAAAACTTATCAAATGTCTACCAATATTTTAGGTACTAAAAGCGACTTACCGAAGAGGAAACAAAGAAGGTATAGGTAAGTAATTGTTACATGAATTCATAGATTTCTTTAGAAGCAGTGATGTAAGAGGCATGATACCTTAAGCATTAGGTTTTTTTACAATATAGAATGATGCATGTGTCCACGATAACGGTAATCAATGAATTGATACTAGTAGTATAGGCAATAGTAGACAAACCATTGATTTTGGTTTACAATAATAGCTCTCAGTAACGACCGAAATGAAATAAGTAGGTAAAGTAAGATAATAATTATTATTTTGTTTATTGAAATTGACCTTATATGTACATTCCAAAACGGATACTAAGGATTAAAGCATGATCCTCTTGGAAACAGAATGGTATCCTTCTATTTTTTAGCTTATCTGTTTGTACGTTTCCAATATACAAGTTAGTGTAATTTAATATAATTACATTGTTTTAGGACAACATTTTCAAATGTACAGTTGGAGCAACTGGAGGCTGCCTTCCACAAGACCCATTATCCTGATGTCTTCTTCAGAGAAGAACTTGCCATGAGAATTGATCTGACTGAGGCCAGAGTTCAGGTAATAATAAAAATACAATAAATGTATTATTCTTTACAATATCGTGGAAGTCTCTCGGACATGTAGACTTGGTGAAGAATTACAATCTTCAATTATCTACCGGCATTTTGACATAAGATTTGATTTCTAATGTCACATCCCATTCTCTTTCCGTAAGAGAAAGATATTGATTTACTATTGCATAGATAGCCAGACGGTTATCAATGCAATATATAGCTGTAGAATTTGAATTCCACTTTTCTTTTTCTTACACTTGGACGTACTTTGTTTTTCACTCAATTTTACTTAAGAATTCTAATAACATATTTACTCCATTATCACACTTCTCATATGAGTATAGTAAATTCCGTTTTGGTTAGAATTCGATTTTCGTATCTTGGAGTTTTACTATCTGGGCTATACTTGCTTTCATTTCAATTTCAGGTATGGTTCCAAAACCGGAGGGCTAAATGGCGTAAACAACAGAAATTAGGATCTGATACCTATCCCCCGCGGGGTCGGTCTCCTGACGAAAGATCTCCATCTGCATTGGCGCTTGAGATGAGAGATTTCATCACTATACCTGGTTGGTTTGTGCATTGTATATCTAAAGAAGAATAAAGGCTAATTATTCTAATTGTCGTAAATTGAGGACAATGTTTTACACACTATTGGCATTACCTTGTATCTATTGAGAATTATAACTTATAACTAAAAAGTTGTAATTGTTCTAGGTCGCGTCATAATTCATATCTTTTAGTATGTTTATGCTTTCCATTTCACTGTAATAAAATCTAAAGTGACTAAGTAAGTATTGATAAGATTTATTAAAATCTTTATCATTATTATTCTTGATATATTTATTATTTACAGTATCGTCTACACAAATGATAAATATATCTGAGACCACACAAAACAGTTATGCGAAGAAACAAGCTGCACCGGCCATCCATATACAAGCGCTACCAACTAAACAAAACCCACAAGGTGACTTCCCCTCATTTTCCATACCCCTTCAATACAATTTTGGCACATTCAAGAAAATTGGAGAAGAAGTTCAACTTGATTTAGAGACTACTGAGGCCGTGCAGCAACCACCATGGGATTCAAGAATGATACCAAACTTTAATCTATTGAACTTAAAGCCTTTAATAGAACCAAGAGATAATATTGAAATAACTGAACTGAAATATGATGTAAAGAATGAAAGCCGTGTAAATTTTAATGAAATAGCAAACTCAAGTTTACAAGCAGCTACTATAGAAACTGTAGATATTTTATGTAAGGAAACGGTAAATGAGGGTCAAACTATATCACCAGATTTTGGTATAGAAAGATATCAGAGTTATCACAATGAAAATGAGAAAAGGTTTAGGGATTCTAGTTTTGATGAAGCTATAATGGAAGACGGTAGAAACGAGTTTGTATGTGAAACTGATTTTTTGTGTAAAAACAATTTTGGAAAGGGTGAGGAGAAACGGAATGAGTTTGAAGATTGTCATCTACTAGATACTGACAGTGGTGTTGGAATTAGTAATTTTGAGAGTAATTTATAAAGACCAGAAATTCTATACAACTGTGCAAAATAATAAAGAAAAAAACTTGTTGTTTTATATTATCTATTAATAAAATAAATCATTTAAAGATAACGTCCTTAGATGGAAGGACTGTCTAAGCCATCTGCACATCATGGCTGTTGGGATGGACAGTCGACGAATAAAAAAGAAACGAATATAAGCGTATAATAAATAATTTAGTTTCTAGAAATTAAAATAAAATAAAATGTGCAGCTCACTAAAAATTATAATGAGTAAAAATTTAGAAAAGTTTTGGAATGGTTTATATTTCATTATAAATATAATTAGTGAATAAAATTATGTAGTTTAATTATTAATGATAGATGCTACCCGCAACTTTGATCTCTTTTTTGGACAAAAAGGAGTCTATGTCCGTTATCCTGAAGTCATCTATTTATCTAAATGTCATATTTAATTAAAATCCGTTCAGCCGTTTAAACGGTAAAGAGACCGATAGACAGACACTTTCACATTTATAACATTAGCTGTAGGTACTTACATTTACTAATGTGGAGAACATTAGTCATTGTTATAATCTTTCCAAAAATACTGTTATATTTTTAATAATCTTTATCATTCTTATTTAATGTCAATGCAGATATAAACGCTTTTATCATATCTACTTATTATTCTGTATGTATTGTATTTTTTTAACCTGTGATATTTGATTAGTTACAGTTGGGAAACCTACCGAAGCATTGACCTACTCCCAATCAGCATAATGCTATATTATAGGAACTCCAAACCGTAATTTTAAATTACATTAAAAAAGGACGAGGTTCTCAATTTATGTTTATTTTTAGATATAATTAGAATTTGTTCCTACAGGAAGGATTTGACAATTCTTTTTATTTGAGATCTGGTGCCATTCATATGATCCCATATAAGTTTGATCAATATCTGAGCAGTTCTTTTTGAATTATCTTTGAAATAATCTATGTTTGAAACCTACCTATAAATAATTTGTATGGGAAAATGGAACTCTTGTCTTTTAGTTCTTTCCTTGGAATTTTTTAATATTTTTTCACCTTTTGAAGTTTTATTGAGATTAACAAATGTCAATTTAGTTTTAAATAGAGTTATTAATCATCATCATTATCAACGAACTGCTGGATATAGGTCTCTCCCAAGGCGCCCCACTTTGCGAAAAGGGCTGGAGATCGTCTTCAACCAGTAGCCCTACCTATATCGTCGCTCCACCTTGCTACGGGGCGTCCTACGCTACGTTTGCCAATAGATGTATTAATACCTCCACGATAAAAGCTGTATGTTATAGATTCAAACAACTCACATCTTATAATGTGTTGCATAATATAGAATAAACAAATACTACTTTTCCACTAGATTTACTTTGAAAAGAAATAATATTGCTATTGTGTTGGAATGTTGAATAACGCTTGTACAAAGAAAACAGATGAATATGTAAAATTAACTGCGTCGGGTTGCCCGTTGTTTGCACTGAGTACATTCAAGTATATTAAGCAAGTATTGTTATGAAAGTAGTTGTCTAGTATCCGACTAAAACTAGATTTCGCAACTGAATTTTTTTCCACGCACAAGCATAATCTGGAATCACCTTCCAGCAATGATGTTTCCGTAACGATACGATATTGAAAAGAGCTTATACCTTCTTAAAATGAAGACAACGCACGACTGGTGAAGATGAACTAAAAACTTGTTTCTCCCCAAAGTTAAAAAAAAACTGAAGTCGAAGAAGAATGGATTTTTTTTAATTTAGAAAACCAACAGTAAAGGTTTCAATCTAGTATAATGGCGTAACATAAATGTATGTCATGTTAATCAATGCCATATAGTAAATTCCTTCAGAGAACAAGAAAACAAATGTCTACTCGGCATATGGAATGGTGCATCTGCCAACAACAGTATACGCTGGTGAGTTCTTCAAAGATAATGATTCGTGCACCTGTCTACGCCAACGATATACCTTGGCTGGGCACTAGTATACGCACGAAACCAGGTCAGTTAGTTGTTAAAGATATCCAAGAAGGATCGCGTGGTGTTTTCTTCTTATCTTGGTAGTTTCAGGCCGGACATTAGTTAACATTTGAGTGACAATATTAACAAATTCTTTCACAAATATCAGTATCCCGTCACTATCAAATAGTGAGGACGAGACACCTAAATATCTGTACCAGGTAGTTATTTGCCATAAAATTATTCATGTTAATACCCGTTAATAGTATAAATAATGTACTACAAGTAGTTAAAATTATCCATCGAATTGTATCAACTAGGAAAAAAATTAATCTAATTAATTAATTGATAACCTGTGGGAAGACAACACATATTTTCACGGAACAAGCAAAGCAAGAAATAAACGAATGGACTGAATAAACAAAATGCAAAAAAAAGGCATGGACCTTCAGTTTATAGACAATAAAGGCGTAACTTATAAAAAAAACAAGGTAAAAACACGAAGGCTTCCATAGGAGACCGCGTGGAGCTAGACCTGATAGGGAACGTTGCTAGACAACTAATATACGTTATTAAGAATCCCTTCGCCCCATATGAGAACTGCTAGTCTTATAGCTTCATTTTCATACGATTTCTATTGGAAATCAAATCCGGGGAGGTTAACAGTAATGCGGTGTAAAATGTTACAGGTTACGCTACCGTCCGACGGTATAGTAGAATGGTGTCGCGTATTTATAGATTCCTAAAATAAACATCGTATTGTGTAAATCAATACGGCTCATAACGTAGTGGTGTATTTGGTAATCGGTTATTACTGTAGTTTAGAATAGAATAGAAAATCATTTATTCAAATAAACTTACATTGAAGCACTTTTGAATTGTCATAACATTTTTTTTTAATCTACCGCTCATTCAGAATGCTGTCTCATCACAAGAAGAACAAGCAAGAAACTTGTGTGTTGCTCTTTTGAATAATTTATTCTTACTTACAATTTAAGTTTGTGTGAATACAAACTACCGATTAGCACTAATTCAATAAAATAATAAAATAGAAAAAACATTCAATACACATTTAGATTGTATGGTATTTAATAATAATGATAACCCTGGACAATACACGCAGAGCCATCTTGTTCCAAGCTAAGCTAAAATAAGCTTGTGTTATATACTAGGTAACTTTTGGAAATACTTACTTAACTTAAACACTTGTAAATACACACAATATTAGATATATCTGACGGCCTCGGTGGTCTAGCGGTTTAGCACACCGCCCTACTACCGATGGTCGCGGGTTCGATTCCTCGCATGGCACAAACATTTGTATTCATGAGTATGATTGTTTGTATCGGTCTGGGTGTTTTCTATGTATGATATATGTATATGTATTTACAAAAAAAATATCTATGTACAAATTTGTATCAGTTGTCTAGTACCCAAAACACAAGCTTTAGCTAGCTTAAGTTGGGTCTAGATGGCGATGTGTGAATTGTCCTGAGATTATATTATCATAATTATTAGATATACCTACGTCTAATTATTTCTTGGTATTACACAGGTATTATTAAATAATAGAAAAGTATTAGTAGGTACTAGTCTAGTAATTACTATTTTTACTTTATCACCCTCAAGCATCGATAATAACCCTAACGAAGGTCTTTTTATAGTTTTTCTGAAAACTGATGAGTTACAGCGAGGGTTGTGTTGATAGCGATCTATTGCATGCGTCATGTAATGATTTAGTTGCAGTTCTTACTTTCATGCCTTCTAAATGATAAATTGGTTAGAAATAACTATTTTTAGTGTATAAAAAGAAAAAAACTATATTATTGCAGGGAATTAGCAATTACGATTTTATAAACTCGTTTTTTATAAACGAGTAACGTAAAGTACTAAACTAATGTTAAAAAAATTAAGTACTGTACAATAATTGCAGGCTTGCGAAATCGGGGCACGTCGTTAGTATTAATATTAGAAAAAAACTGAAATAAAAGTAGATAGTAACAACAATAATTTCTTTATTGATTATTTATTATTTGAATGGTTTTAAAAAATAGATATCATTATTTATAAAAACGAAACGGTTGTTATAGTAGATACCTAGAAAGTATTACGATACATCCTCAACGGCGATCGGATCGGACCACCAAGCATGACGCAAGAAGGTGCGCTACCGAGAAAGACACCTGCGATGAGTCAGTATTTCAATTCCCGCATTTTAGAATTAAATTTAGTTTTTCTCTATTTTTTTTTATTCTTCCGCCAGCGACTTCATCGGTCTGGGTGTTGGTGTTTGGGTTTCTATGTATGATATATATGTATTTACAAAAAAAATATCTATGTACAAATTTGTATCAGTTGTCTATAACTTAAGTTGGGTCTAGATATATTACGAAATTACAAACTCGTTAAACATTACCAATATAAAACATATAACACATCGTCAGTAGGGGACCAGTACCCAAAGTAGAGGGGCATGGGATTCTAAGTAAGAAGCCACAGGGTCCATTGCTATCAATGAAAGAGATTTCGATTGATGATGATTCGCCATGATGGCTAACTGACCGTATATTATGGTCATCTCATCACCATCCCCTTGTTTCACCCGCGTATACCGTTCTTACAAGCGGGTGGTTTTATATTCCTCCAGAAAGAGCAGAGTACCAACAGGTGAATTAAGAGAGGAATCTCCTCATAACGCGATCGGTACCAAGAGCCAACGCCTTTGATACTGTCTAGTTGGAGCCCCTTGAGATATTGATTAGGACTCTCGCTATAAGATTATCAATTATCTTGACAATTATCGTTGCTAGTTAGTAAACGTATTACATAATAATTCTAAGAAATAGAAATAATATTACAAAATACTATACGGCTGTTAGATAATATGGGGTGGGCAGTAGCGTTGTCAATTTGGATATTAAGAATTGTTGTTTGTTCAAATCTGGCCGACACCTAAAAACTTTCTCAATTTACATTGTTGACTAGCTCTGTGGTGATGGCAACGCCAATAACAAACCAAATAAATCTCAGAGACGAGTGCACAG